ATGGTTTACCTTGCCATTGTCCATCAGCGCACATGAAGCTTTCTGATGGCCTCTTAGTTTTCCAATAAATGCTTTTGAGAGCAAGCTTTAACACTGGGTGATTCCCATGTGAGTTTAAACAGAGATAGCCTCATGTCTGGAACTTACAGGAAAGAGTCAGATAGAACACATAAAGACAACTCGCTGGCAATCAGGTTCTGATGGACTCCATCCTCATTACACCTGTGAAGACTGCCAATTTCCTGGTCTTGTTGAGCATGCGTGCTTTTGTGTGTTAGGAATGCAGTAGCAATGGGAAGGCAAGATGGCAGTGGGTTATCTTAGACCACAAACCTCACTGTTCCCATTAAGACTCAGTGACTATGCTTCTGAAACAGGCTTCTGGAGTTGATGTAAACCTTTTGCTAATTTCTAGGGTTTTGAAAGAAATCAACCTGATAAATTTTGCTGATTTTGTCATTGCCATGGTAGAGGGAAGAATTTACAGACTTCAAAGTGTTGCTTTTCACTAATATTATTTTAGCAGATTACTTTGGAATTCTACTTGGCATTACCTACTAAAATTTATTATGTGGCTAGCCTAGTAACTGGACATTCTTGTAATGCATAGTTAAAAAGGGAGCATGTTCAAGTGTTCATGCAGTATTCTTCAAAGAGCAAATGCTGGCAATAACAAAAACACTTAACAGAAGAATGAACTGACTATTTTTGTCCTACAAAGGAATATTTCATTACTCTAAAAATGAGTGAGTTATAGATACATATTCATAGGCACACATTTTTATGGCATGATTTTAAGTTGAAGAAAACTATAGGAGAATACATCAATACTATTCTATTTTTTATAAAGACTAAAATGTTTTAAACTATAAAAATAAGTAAATGAGTAATTTAAAAAATTGCAGTAAATGGTTATGCCTGGTTCAAAAAGTTAGGATTGAGGTGCCTCTGGGTGCACATTAGTTTGATCAGCATATTGTTCAGATGAACAGATCATAGATAGTTTGATATTTTACTGCCTTTTGAATTTAGAAGTACTTTTTTGTCTTTTAAAGATTTATTTACTTTTACTTTATGTGTATGAGTGTTTTACCTATATATTTGTATTACATTACATGCCTGTCTGATTTCCTCAGGGGTCCAAAGAGGGCATCAGATCTCCTGAAACTAGAGAAACAGGTGGTTGTAAGATTCCAGGTTGGGGCTGGGAACCAAACCCAGACCCTTTTAAAGAGCAGTTGTTGGTCTTAACTACTAAGCCATTTCTCCAGCCCTATCTTGTCTTTTCATATGTATCAAGTAATTCTAGCAATAAAAAAGAGGACTTGGGCCACCTACCTGTGCTACACAAAGGCTCTGATGAACCAGTTGGAAGAAAACAGAAGGTTGTGAATTTTATAGACTTTACTAACTGTGTACAGAATCTAAAATGATTGGTTGAAATCTTTAAGGCAGTAAACTACCAAGAGTGTTTGCTTCAAGAGGACTCAGTGAGCATGAGGGGCACACTCCAAGCAAACCAACCTCAGTAGTTACTCAAAGAAAGTTATCATAGCAACATAACATTGCAATATGCATTCAAACATGAGAGAAATTATCTGCCACACGATCAGATATTTTGTCTTTTTACTGTCATTTCTAAATAAATTATCCAGGCTGTTCAAGCATGTGTAGCATTTTCAAAGTATCAGCAAAGTAAATTACTACAGGAATTATTAAGAGATACTTACTGGGAATTTATTTAATGAGGTGAACAAATATTAACTGTGAGAGATATTTCTATATTCCAAGTATACTTCCTATAATGCCCTATAGAAATTCATTTTGAAGTAATCTTCTGGTACACCAAAAATTCCAACATTTTTAGAGTGTTTGTCCATTGGTACCAGAAACCTATTTGGGGATCTGTAGATTTGAGGAATTATACGTGTATATGTTGTGTGTTGTTAAAAACCCAGAAAGCTTTGAAACGTCTCATAATTTCCACTCTGCTCTGCTGATTATTTCCATTCTGTACTAAAAATATACCAGTTTACAGCTATAGTTTGCTGCACATGTTCTATTTAAATGTCAGCTTGGAGCCCTTCCCTTTTCTAATTCTTCTGGTTCATTAGCTTCTCCAGGCAAAAAAGGACAGAACCTCTTAGAAGTGAGGAAGACAAGCAAGGTCAAAGGCAGCTTTAAGGTCGACCCAGGTTACTTTGTCCTTGTTGTTTTTCTTCTTTAGTGTTTTCTAATCAGCTTTCTATCCTTTGCAATCCACTGGTCTCCCTCCAGCTCATCTCAGTTCCTTACATACCCAGCCCCACTATTCTTAAAGAAAGCTCTTAATTCTTTTTATATTTTCCAAGATAAATTAGCACTATCTTAAAAGTAATATTATACTACACCAGTGGTATTTCATTAAAGTTTAGACTTTCTAAGAAAATGGGCAAAATGTGTGAGAACTGAATACAGATGACAGAAAATGACCAAAAAAATTGTGGGTTTTTTAATTCTTTTTTTTTTTCCTTTTGGTATTTATTACCATGGTATTGCTTACCAATGTCCTAAATTAAGCCTCCCCATTTCCTTCTTGGATCAGAATGAAATGAACCCATAAGCCATGAGCAACAATGTTCTTAGTAGGCTGGACAATTACAGCTGTGACAGGTGACATGAAGTGACCTTCTGCTTGACTAGGGGCTCACAACTGTGGCTCTAGCTTAGTATTTTTAATTCTCATTATGTCAACAAACCATTTTTGGTTTCTGCATTTCCAGTGTGATCTCCCAGTCCCCAAATCAGTACCCATCAGGGGTTCATTTGTGGCTGTCAGCATGGAATCAGTTCCTATCATGGTCCTGTCTAGCTTGGATTTTCTTTTTTTCTATTTTCCTTGACAATCAGAAGGATAACTCCAGAATATGAAATGTTCACCAAAGCAAGGTGAAGAGACTTGGAATGCTTACTTATTTTGTATACTGAGGTACACAATGGAGACTCAACTCTGCTTTCTCATCTGCAAACAGCTCAGTGTCAATGTCAACACTGTGGACAACTTCAAACCTCTTCAGACCTGCTTGATGGTAGGTCAGGAACCCAGCTCAGAGGAGTTCCGTCATGTTCCCAGTGCCTTTTCTTTACCTTCTTTACTTTTTCTAAAACCATGCCTGCTGACTGTTTAGCAAAGAGGAGAAAAAGCATCTGTGGGAATTCTTGTTCTTAACATAAATAGGCCTTGTTAGCACAGCTGGCGGTCAGTGTGTCCTTAGTACACTGTGTTGACACTTCATTTGTAACTGCCCATTTGAAATGACTACCTGCTAAAAATGGAATTAAGTTTTTATTTCATTTTCTTCATTCATAAATTTGTGAATTTTGCACAGCCCAGGTAAGGACAGTCATGATTTTCTTGACTGTATGCATTCTAATTAAGAAGGCTTCTAAATTATCAATATGTCTAAACCTAAAAGCAATTAGGAATCAAGAATGCTAACATAAAAATTCCCTTTGACATCAGGTGTGGGTATGGAAACAACACAACATTAAAAATTGGAATATGTAGCCAGGATATTATTGCTTGCCACTTGAATCCTTTTGAAAACAAGATCCTCAAATATTCTTTAAATACATCCGCTTATCATAATACATGATGCCACTCAAATAAGAGTAATTATCCTGAAGGAATACAGGGGACAGCAAAGCCTGTCTAGAAAGCTGAATCCCTCTGACCTTTTAATTTATCTTTTGCAAAGATAAAGCCTGAAAATTAACCACTACATTCATTAATAGCCCCATTAATCCCCCAGATGAGCAGTTATGTCCCTAGGCTAAGTCTGGTCAAATGCACACAGGCATTTCTTTAAAAACAACAAAACCCTATAACCTACCGCATCCAAAGCTTATTTCTATAAATTCTGACTGCTGAGAAAGACGACACCACAGTTTTCAGTGCCACCCTATATTTTAAATCACAAGACTCAGGTATAATTTGAATAAAAATTCATTTAACATTAAGAAAAACAATTCTATTTAGATTTTATCTTAGATTTACAAAACTCACAGTGCATATGTTACTGGTCATAACACATTTCCCTCAAGCCTCACAATTGCTAAAAATACCAGATCAATCACCATTGCAGATCACATTATGAAGTGTGTGAACTAGTGCATTAAAAAACTTTGTTAGCACCAACATAGTTTATTGGGGGAGCTACATTCAAGACACACATGGCATACCTTTAAATAGCACTGTTAAAATACCAAATAAAATGTCAATGTCTGTCAGGTCTCTGGCTTTTATAAATTGTTTAGACTGGAAACGTTGGGGTTTGGACATTGTTCTTTTCATACGATGTAGAAAAGAAGAGACCATAAAAAGAAAAGAACAATAAAGCATAGCTCATTTTTGAAGTTCCTTCATGGAAAAACATACTCTGGTTCATTACCCTCCCAATCAACAATTTCCTCCCAATCCTTCCGTCTGTGTTGACTTTTTCCCCCTCCTCGCTCTGGGTGGTATCCTGAGCTTACACATACTACACAGCAACTGTGGTTTTTAAGTCACTTCAAAAGAGAATGTTGGGACAGCATCACAGATTTTACACACACACACACACACACACACACACACACGCACGCACGCACGCACGCACGCACGCACGCACGCACGCACACGCACACGCTCACGCGCACGCGCACGCGCACACGCACATGCAAAGCACATGGTATTTTTAACATGGACCAAGGTTTTGCTCACCATGTCTATGGTCTTACAAATATACCAGTATGCTCTGACTACAGAACACACCGGAGAGGAGGAAGGCCCTTCAGGCAGGACAGTAACTACCTACTTACAGGGGAGTTCTGCTCACACCTCAGTGGCCATCTCCTTGCCCCCTCCCTCCATCTCTTCCCTTTATTAACACACTACGCCCACCACCCCACCCCCAAACAACAACATCCCTGTTTCGGCTTCTCCTCTGGATTTCCCACACTTAATGCAACCCAGACCTCACCTTCAGCTCTCCTGAGGCCACTTTGGAAGCCAGCTCAATGACACAGCCAACAGCCATGCGTGCAGCACCGGACGAGTGCAGCTCATTCCAAACGGTGTCACTGTCCACCTGAGCAAACAGTCAGCAGGGTCCAAAGAAGGAGAGAAAAGGAAAAGAGAAGAGAAGGGTGAGAAGGGGGTGGGGTGGGGGAGGGGAGAAGAAAGAGAAAACAAATCTCTGAGGAATGGCTGGCAGGCTAACGCCTATGTACAATAACATTAGTCTTCAGTCCTGGCCAGCTGAAAAGGCCTTCTGGACCTGGCTTTGCAATAGACTTTTCTCTGCACTGAATTCTCCAATGGAAACACATTCCTGCCATGCCTCACTGCCATTCTCTGTTTAGATTTCTCATTACAAACAGCATTACATAGGCCGGATCTGGCTTAGGTACAGGCCTGCTAAAATCCAGGCCCCAGCAGTAGGTAGAGCGAAAACCAAAAGCACTTAGTTAGACATAAAAATCGGATTTGCAAGTGCTGGAGGGAGAAAATGCCATTCTGACTGCAGGTTTATCAGGAGCCAATACCACTCTGATTGCAGGTTTATCCGGGTCCAAAGACAAGGTTTAGGCAGGTAGCAGTAAGAAGCAGTAACCATGGGCTCAGCCCCAAGAATGGAAGGGAATTGTGGACCTCACACTTAGAAGTTAGAGAGATTTGGTTTACACAGGAGAGACTTCATTCTTCTAGCACAGGTGCCCTTTTGAGACTGGTTTCAGTGCACGCTGGTTCTGCACTAGAGCAGCATCATGGAGGCATGGCTTAGCACTTGTTTAGAAAATGCCCTTGGTCCTTTTCCACAGACACAATTAGAATAGATATGTTAAGAATATTAAATGTGCAGTAGTAGTGGTTTTAATTATAATGTGTGTTACATGTGGTTATGTATAAACTAGTTCAAAATATTGAAATGTCAGCATCAATTGACAGGCAGCTCTGATCTCAGATCTCAGAGTGTGTAAATCATATGAAGTGTTAAGAAATGAGATTAAATGTTTGTGAATGTAAATATCAAGTCTTTGCAGATGGGCCAAAGAGAGGATTTCCTGGGCAAAACAAGCTTTTGCTTCAAAAAAATTGAGAATAAATCTAAGGTCCAGTCATATAGGAAAATAAAATAAATAAAAAATGAAGCATATTTACAAAATACTAATTGGTTTCCAGAGTAATGTCATATCTGTTCTTTCATCACATAGCCATTATTGACTTAAATTATGGCAAGTTGTCAATAGAACAAATAACAAAATCATATTGTTCTCAAGAAGTATTGGGCACATAGGTGTTCAATGGACACTTGAGATTCTTCAACCTATCCAAACAACTGTGACCCCCAAGTTGTCAATGAGGAATAAAAAAAAAAATCATGAAAAACTATATAACTATGCAGATAAACATAAATATACACACAGAAAATAAGGTCATCTAAACAGGATGACTGTGAAGAGAGAAGCTTTTAAAGCCAGTCTGTTAGGGAGACATCATAACCTTATTATTAAATCTGAGTTACACTAATTAAATTCTGTGACCTGATTTGCTTATCCATGAAACTATCTTGAGTATCATCTGATAGCTCAGAGGTTAACAACACATACTGTTCTTCCAGAGGATCTGAGTTTGGTTTCCGGTAACCACATGGCACATATTCACACAAACAAACCCACAAAGACATATTAAAAAATTAATCTAGAATACCATCTGCATATGACTGCTCCAAGGCCGACTAAGGAGGTAATAAGCAAAGGGTGGTTGCTCTTATTTCAGCCACTGTGACACCTGTACACCAGGCACAACTGAGCACGTGGAAGTGCTGCATGGACCGATGTTGACTGTGTGTCATGTAGTTTATAATCAGTGTTACATCACCACACACCTACTGCTGTCATAGCTCAGTCTAGATGAATGAGCGCTGGAACTGAGAAGTTAAATAAAGGTATATCACTGAATCCAAAAGGGCCAATCTAGACTGAATTACCACATAGCTTCTAAGCACCTTGTTTGTTAAATTTGGAATAAGCATTACTTATTTCTATATATTCTTACAGCACTTGGAAATTTCCTTCTAAAAATGTTAAATACTCCATCAGGTTAGAAATATTAGCTGTTTCTGGGTGGTGGTGGCAGCACACACATTTAATCCAGTCCTCGGCAAGTAGAGGCAGGCAGATCTCTGTGAGTTCGAGGCCAGCCTGGTCTACAGAGTGAGTTCCAGGACAGCTAGAGCTACACAGAGAAACCCTATCTCAAAAAACAAAAACAAACAAACAAAAAAAGGAAAGAATTATTATCTGTTCTTTCAAATGGGAACAATGTTGGATTAGCCATAAGACTAAAAGGCTTTAGGTTACCACATATATTTTCGTGTGAAATCCACCTACCTGTTCACACCCCTTCTGCTTCCTGGAAGTATTTTGTATTGATAAATAATCTGTGTCTATACAATTAGTGTTGGTGCATACAATAGTAGTGGTGACAGCTTGATTTCAATTTAGCTAACATCTGTCTTGCACCTAATATGAGTTGTAATTTGGGGATTTTTTTAGTAAAGACAGGGTTATTGTTCTCAAAGCGTGGTCAATGGCTTCTTGAGATTTTATGACTTATATCCAAAGTTTTGCTTATCTCAAATACATCCTTTTTTAGTGATCTATGATATTTCTCACTCATTCATTTATTTATACTAAGTATATAGGACATTTATGTAAGAACTACTTGAACGTCTGTTTTATGTACAGTTTATAATTAAGTGGTAAAAATGAACAATTTTTGCACATATAATCTGATGACTGACTTCTGGATTTATGAGTAGGTTTCTTTTACTCAGTGATTTGACTGTGACAACACATCACAGGCTGGGGAACTTACGTGGTTCAAGTACATTGCCAGCTAGTTTTTGCCTTGCAGCTGGCTTTCTGGGATGTTCTCACACAGCTGTCCCATGTATTCAGGTTCCAATGCTTAGAAGGCCACCTGTCCTATCAGGTGAAGAACCCATTTTTCTAATTTCATTTACTCTTAATTATTTTCTAAATGCTTATTACTATCATTACTATTATGGGTTTTGGATTCACCATATTAATTTTGAAAGAATTTTAGGGATAGCTCTATCCCAAAAGTTTGTTCATGAATCAATTTGCAAACACATTCCCATGACATCATGGTTCCAAACGGTGTTTCAGCTATGAAACACATCTCACACGTATTTCCACATCTTACAAGATCTCCCAGAGAATAATTAGATACTCTGGTGGCCACATTAGCTAGTTAGCGAGATCTTGATGGCATTAGTAACACATGCAAGACAGATCCTTAAAAGCAGAACCTCTGAACTTTAAAGTTATTGTTTTTCTTTCCATGCATATGAACGTCTTTATTCATCCACCAATCCACTTATTGATGAGTATGTGTTTGTGCATATGTGTGTGTGTGGTATGTGTGAATGTGTACGGTATGCATGTATTAGGGGTAGCAGTACAAGTGCCAAAAGGGAGATTAGGCTTAATAAGGAGAAAATGCAAAGACACAGACATTCAGAAAAGAATCAGCACCACGTGCATATAGATTTTAAAAAATTATGTCAAAGGAAGATTGTTTTCTAATTCCTCTACATATGGAAATTTTGCTTTTTTGTCCCATATCATCTATGTGAACAGGTTCTGTTCCCTACTTTCCAAAATGATAGCTCAAAGAATGGACTCTTTCTACCTGTGACTGCCTGACACCTAGCTTGCTGCTTAGATGGTGTATAGAAAATTATGGGAGGAAGAAGATCTTAAAAACTGTCCCTTCTGGTCCTGGAAGATTAGACACAGGCAGACATAAGGGTATAATGGAGACAGCAAATCAGGGAGCAGCCTGGGAACAAACAAGGCAGCCACATAAGTGACCAGGGAAGTTAACAACGTGGTTAAAGAGTAAAGACTCAGCATTCACGTTCGGCACTTACGGTGAGTCTAGAATGAACTTCAGGTACCACTTGATGAGGAGCCTATAGAGTAAGGTCAAAAGTCAACCAAGGGTCACATTCATGTGTCTCCTATAGAGTGGGAATGGTGAGTCTAGAATGAACTTCAGGTACCACTTGATGAGGAGCCTATAGAGTAAGGTCAAAAGTCAACCAAGGGTCACATTCATGTGTCTCCTATAGAGTGGGAATGGGAGCGCGAAATGCCTAGAATCAACTAAGGCTATACTGCAAGAGAGTCTACAGAATCAACTAACTACAAGTTATTCCACATGGAGTCCATGACAGCAGCTCAGGAGACCCTAAGTGAGCTGAGCTGAGGTTGCTGAGCCCCAGTGGTCAAAATTCCAGGTTGTAGACAAGTCAGAAACCAGGGATCAGTCCACAGGTGGCACAGTTACAAAGTCAGGAGACCAGGAACAATCAGGTTGCATAAGGAACCAGATTGCCATGGAAACCTGAATGTTCAGAGAACAGCATAAGGATTCAAGTCTCCATCCTTTCTCAGGCACCCGAATGTCACCTCTGGAGAAAAATCCAAGAGAGTGAGCTGTTGCTTGAATAGGCTTAAACCAATCATACATGGGTCTTAAAAAGATAGAATTTTTATCTGAAAGGAGAGGTTAAAAATAGAAGAGACTGATGTATTATTAATTGGGGAGATCAGTGTAACTGGGAGAAAAAGGGGAAATGTCCACTGGGCACTGTTGAGGGAACATAAGGTCTTCTGTTTACTTTCCTTTTATTTTGTTTATTATTTTGAGGTACAGTCTTGCTATGGGTGTTGTGATGATGTGGGAGTCACAAATCACCTGCTTCAGCCTCCCAAGTACTGGGTTTAGAGGTGTTTAATGCCTAGCTTTAGCTGTGTGATCTTATTATTATCACTGTTAATTTTGTATCATTGTGTATTGAATACCCATGCTCAGCAAGTGCTTTACCACTGAGCTACATCCTCAACCTTTATCTCATTTTCAAGGACAGAAAACTACTTGGTTAGATCCCAGGAGAAAATATTTGTCCCAGGTTCTGAACACAGTCTCTAAAGGCTATTCTATTATAGTGTTCTATTATTATTCTATGTACTATATTATTATTATTATTATTAT